AGCGGGGACGCGGGGGGACGAACAGGGGAGCTTGCACCGCCTGAGGGTGAGGAGGCGCCGCCGGGTTCAGGTTGGGGGGGTTCTCTGGGGGTGGACCCACACGTGGCCGCTTTGGATCCGTCACAGGCTCCAGGAGTGGGCCCACCCTCTTCCCTGAATTATCTGAGAGAAGAAGAAAAGAGACCATCATGAACAAGCACCTCTATGATGCCTCCACCCCCTCCAGAGCAAACACAGGAAACTCTCCCAAAACTACCGCTGCTGCCAGCTCGTCTGAATAAATAAAGGTTAGAAGAGGAAACGGTGCAGAGGAAGAGTAACGCTGCTGCAGAGCTACGTTCTCCTGCCAGGGACGTCACTCACTACTTCTACATGAGCCAGAAACAGAGCGGAGACCATGAACCTCCTGGTCGCTCACCTGCACACTTCTTGCTCAGCTCGGCTTCACCTTCCTTCTGGATCTCCTGGATAATTCGCTCATCGTCTTGCTGCAGAAACACAAACAGAGAAGTTGCTGCTTTTCCAACAACATTGAGGCAAAACGTGTTTAATCACACACGCAATGTGGCGGCAGCATGAAAACACACTGAGCAGTACGTCACGGATACGACATGCAGCATCCAACAAACCTCCACCAGGGCTTCTACACAGAGGAACAAGCTGTGGGGAGATGATGCACAGTCAGGATGTGAAACGTGTTTCTAGAGTTGATGTGCAGAGTTGTGTGAAAGACACTGAGTTTGTTGCAAAAATGAAAATGTCTTTTATAAAGGTAACACCTGTGGGCTAGTTTTCTGGCCTTAGATGGCTCATCGCGTCTAAGACGTTATGGAGTTGTGTCTACTGTCAGCCGTCGTCGTGCTGCTTCCACAGAGGTACAAGACTAACCAAGTGTAAACTGATAAACGAGGCCACGGTGAGGAAACGTACGACAGGAGCAACATGTGTGTGGCTCAGATGCTAACAGCCCCTCTGACAGCTTCAAGCTACCATTAGCACAAAGTCAGAAAGCAGGAGAAGGAAACAGAGGAGAGCACATGCAAAGACACCACGACACGCAGACAAAGCTGATGAGCGACGGTCGCACCGTGGGATCCGTCCAGAGGGAGCACTTGCGGCAGTGGCGGCAGGGCGCGCCAGGAGAGCGGGCGTGCTGGCAGAAGTGGTTGTAGCCGGTGATGGGCTCTCGGCAGAGGTAGCACATGAAGCTGCCGCAGCGGCACGACATCCGGTTGCAGCCCTCCGACTTGACCAGGCCCGTCCCACACTTGACACACTTCCTGACGCGAGCTGCCGTCATGCGCTCCTCACTGCAGAAACACACAGAATAGAGTCAGGAGAGGATTAAAAACAGAACATAGAGACGTGTTCAGATCATCCAGTGAGCTTCAACTGCATCACACACTGGTTTTGATTACATAAAAATGTAAAGTACATGTTGTAAACTAGCAGGTTGTGACCCCGTAACAGTCAGTAACAGGAAGTGGAATGAAAATAAAAGGCAGCGTATCACTGGGGTCCATCTGATCAGAGGGAAGAGCTTTAAATAACCCACAGCTTCATGGTAGACCACATTAAAAGTGACAAACTGTGACACCAAGAGACCAAACATTGTGCATTCATACACAGGTGCAGCTCAAAAAATAATGAATGTAATTTAATTCAAAACCGTAAACTTTCAAGTATCCTACATTCATTACACATAAAGTTAAATATTCCAGTTTTCCAACATGAGCTCATTGGATCAGCATTAAGGCGTAACACCAACTTCTACAGACAGCATCCAAGAAAAACAAACCTAACCTGCTCTTAGCTGCAATATTAAACTTTGCTAATGTAAATAAATGAATAACTGATGTATACTGGGAGCACACTGTTTAGTCACATAAGACCAGGACTGTGATGATACGGAGCTACGTGAACGTGTCGGGGAACTTTACAGAAGCACCATGAATATCCTGGCTGAGAAGATGAACCCAGACGCTTGGCGGAGGAATATTCTAGCAGAATGATCTGAAGCAGATCTGCAAAGTCCCCTCAGAGTTCCTAAAGAAGGAAAAGGTGAAAACCGTGACCTGGACGTGCACCACCTGACTTTGGATTTTTAAGGGGAAAGGTTGAGAAACACGACCACTCAGGCTAAGAGCAGAAGAAAAATAGTCTCTACAGAACGGCAGAACGTCTCCTCAGACAGTTATGCAAAAGAAGGAAACTTAAATATGTCATTGCATGGAGTTGGACCTGTCCAGGTGAACCTGCCTTCACCCTGAGTCAGCTGGGATAGACTCCAGCCCCCCATGACCCTGGTGAGGATTAAGCGGTGTAGAGATGATGGATGGATGGATGGATGGATGGAGTTCCTGCTGTGGCTCCTGTGTTTATAAAACAGTAAATCTCAACACTCTCTCTTGACACAGACCTCATGAGTCTGGACCATCACGCCTTTAGACGGATCTGTGTTTAGTATGAGGCTGTATTTATGAATCCACTGACGCTCATCATGAACGTCTTAACATGATAATAAACATCTGTATCTACAGGTTCTGTTCTGCCTCCATATTCAGGACTACCAGCACCTGTTGGTTTCAGACCAAACCACCCAGCCTGGAGCGGCCTATTGTCACTGCTGTGATTCTGTCCTGTTACAACCATCAAACCCTGACCCACTGATCCGTCTGCCGGGCCGCTTCCTGCCTCTTTCAGCACCAGGAAGTAAAACGATACGTGACCGCCTCAAAACAGGAAGTACTGCCTCTGAGCCCGCTGTGCGACGGGAAGCAGCCGGCCTCTCCGCTTCCTGGAGTCTCGTCCGGGAAAATAAGTGGTTCAGGCAGCATCCTTTCAGAGCCAGATGTGAAACCTGGGAAACGACCAGGGCCTGGGATCCGAGTGGGCACCAAGAATGCTCAAGGGTTAAAAAAAATGTAAAAAGCTTCTGAGACTTTAAAATGACAGTAACAGGAGTGTTTCTGGTGTCGACTCGATGAGGAAAATCACCAGTCAGTGTGGTGACGAGTGTAAATCACAGCGGACGGAGCAGAGGACGGAACACCACCTCTGAGATGTGACGTTCAGAAGGTGGGCTTCCTCTATGCTCTTCTATATTTAGTGTTTCTGTGCTTTTTTAGGGTTCAATAAGATAAACAAAAAAGAACTAAAGTGTTTAATAAAATCCGTATGCTAGGGATCCAGAGTGTGACCATCTGGGTGAGAAAGACAATAGATGAAAAAATCTGAAACACCAACAGTGTTATTGGTCACACCTGATGGTTAGCAGGTCTGTCTACTGTGCTCATGGAGATAAAAGCCTTTTTTTTTTTTTTAGTATTTCCAGACTAATTTCAGCTCATACAGCTGTCTGAGGCTTCTGTGTGCACAGCTCCTGCACGTGACACATTCAGGGAACATCCGTAAACTGTAGCTTCATGGGTAAACTGCAGCCTTCACTGATGCATGTGAGGCATCAGGAGGACGTCTGATGAACTGTTGTGTCTACTGATAGTTTACATGTGACGCGTTTCAGATGTAGCTTCAAAAACACGCTGGGTTTCATGTTCCCACGCTAAGCTGCATGAATGTGTGCATGCACATCGATCACACTGCGCCACCCACAACCGCGAGCAAACGGTCAATTTGTGGTAAACAGCTCGGCGTGATCAAACAGCCGACAGTCTGCGTTGCAGAGCGCGGCCAAAGCACGACGGGGCTTTCACTCTAAGAGAATCAACGTTTAATCGATGTTAGAAAAGGATAATGTCTCAGAGAAATGTGTCTGGTGTTGTGGCAGGTGCATCGTTTGCTTTCCAGGCAGTCAGATATTCTAATATCATCTACGACTGCACATAACAGAGCCTCAGAAGAGCTTCCTGTGACTAACTTGAAGTCCCAGATCATCCTTGTGAAGAACACGCTAAAAATGTGATTCCTGCTTACAGCCATTTAAATAATGTGTCAGGAAATGACCTACATGTGTGGGAGCTGACAAGACAGGTCAAGCTTTAATGTTCTTGGCACCAAAAGGCACAGAGAGAACCTAAAGGAAAAGGTGTACCTGAGTGAGTGAGTCAGAGGCCTGTGTGTGATCATGAGCAGGTTGTGGCTCAGTGATGGTCTGATAAACGGTGTGTGTGACCCACTTACAAGACCACCCTCATGCGGATCTCGTCCCTCTCCAGGACCTGCTCGCAGGTCTTCCCCACATGCTGCTTCCACTGGACGTGGCACTTTCTGCAGCTCTCCTAGAAAAACACAGAAGAAGGGAGAAGATGAGGGATGTGGCAGGAGAAAGAAAAGAAGGAGGACGCTAGCAGAGTTTCATTAGCATCTGCTCAGAGCACTTAGTGACCGATTCAAGATTCAAGCAGTTTATTGTCTTGTGACACAAACCAGGGAAATGATCCTCCTTAACCAAATGACACAACATGTAGAAGTGTGTAAAAACAAAAGCTAAATAAAAAATAAGCAGATTTAAACTGACAGCAGCAGTGGTCGTCATGTGCACTGTGTGAACCGGGTTTGCATGAAGCGACCAACAGCAGCATAAAGTGATTACAGTCGTATAAAGTTCACACTGCAGCGAGGTCAGCAGTTATACATTACGCCATCGAACAGCAAGATTAGGTAGAGCAACGCCACCCTGATCAAGATTATCCCACATTTCTACCTATCCATCCATCCATCCATCCTCCGCTATCCATTACTGCTGACGAGTGCTGCAGCAGGAGCAGCATCCCTCCACAGTCTGCTCTATATGCTGCTGGTGCTGCCACTGCAGGGACTCAGACTTGCACAGACACACTTAGGTGTGGCTCGCCCTGCAAACGTGTGTGTGAGTGCAGCGCCAAAATGCTTGCCACTCACTGCTTAGTTGCCTAGTAACAACTCCATGAACTCCATCCTCCTGCAGCCTCCCTCGTCTCGTCAGCCTTCAGCCGATGTTGGGCTGAAGCACATGTGGGGCAGACGATTCACACACGTTTGCTTCGGGGCTGCCTTCCTTCCTGCCTTGCTTACCCTTACCCACGGATCTCCATAAATATTTGAACCGCTCATCTAATATTGACGAGCGGGGCGTATGACAGCTGATGCAGCACCGTATGATCCATATCTCCGACCCTTAACCTCACGGAACAGCCTGCATTAGTCAGGAACACACCCTCCAACCTCCAGCCCAGCACTTCTACCGCTGTGTGTGGCGGCTGCTGTTTCTGTATGTCGGCTTCCACAGTATTCACCGTGTGTGTGTGTGTGTGTGTGTGTGTGTGTGTGTGTGTGCACAAGGTCAGCCAGAGGGTGGCGAACTGGGCTGGAGAAGCCAGACTTTCTGCTGGCATTTGGCCTCTCTGATGGCACACTAAAAACCCTGAGAGGCAAATATTGGACACAGTTTAACAGCTTCAAGCGAGAGGAGACTTTTCTGAAACAAATTAAATGCAAACAGATGGAAACTAGACAACAAGCATTCTAAACATTTAGCAGTTTAGGATTCGTAGGGAGTATCTGAGCTGAGAGATGCGTGAAACAGTCGAGTGTGTCTGACGAGATGAAAGCATGAAGAGAATATACGCTCTGGTCTGTTATTTCAGCTAAAACAGGGTGTTTGGAGAGAAAAAGCAGAGCCAAGGTGTGCAGATTTGGACTGAGGTGCAGGAAACAACAGATCACACAAAAGACGGTGAAGGACTGGAGTGAAAATGTGGGGAATGACGCCCTCTAGTGGTAGCAAAGAGCCCAGGAAGCAGGAGGGCAGCTAGAGGAGAGTGTTCGACTGTCTGGAACCTGTTTGAAAGCAGGAACACACCTGAGCTCTTATAGCCCGGCTAAAAATACAGCCGCTGACGTCACAGTCAAACCTTGTACTGGGCGTGTCGGCCCCACCTCCGGATGCTTTTTGTTTGTTTGGTTTTAATAAACTTGGCGGAACTGTGTCAAAGGTTGCACAGACGCAGAACTTCATGATGACTGAATGGCAGCTGGTTGAACGACTCTGATTGGCTGCGCTCCAGTAACCGTATTACCATGATACACACCGGGCCAAACAAATACTTCTCAAAACACAGGACAGCGAATGCAAAAGGTTTCCCTCGTACATGTGGTCAGACGCTGCTGTTTGCCTTCCTGGACGCTCTGACCAACCATTACAGACGCTCATACAGACGCTCAGACAACACGGACCGCTAACAGCTAACAGCTAACAGCTAACAGTCAAAGTCTAAGGCAGTTTCATGACAAACTCCAGCGTCCTGATCGTGTGCATACGGCCTGAAGCGGTGTGTACTCTGTGAGAGCAGCTGTAATGTGTACTTAAAGTAAAACGTGTTTTTAAAAAGTGTGTGAGCCTTCGTCTTTTTAGTCTCCACATTTATTCCTCATTCATTTCTTCTTCCAGCCTGTTCTAACTTGTTCCAGCTGCATTCTCGGCGCTCCTTTCCGTTAAGCTCTTTCCTCCTTTCTCATCTCCCTTTCAGCTCCATCTCCATTCATGTCTTGCTCTTTCTCCTCTGGATGCTCGGTGTTACCAGGACGGCCGGTGCCGACCCTACAGTCTGATGAGGATTGTGGAAATGATCACTTTATCTAAATATATATGAGAAGATGTGGCTGATAGCAGATGTTCCTGTCGTCTGTAGGTTCTAGTCTTCCTTCATAAACAGCCGTCTGCGACTTCAGGTGCATTTAACAACAGATCTAACGATAGGTTGGTGTGCTATGCTTTTACCACAGTGGGCGCCTGTGGATGTTTCTGACAGGTTGTGACTTTCCTCTTTTTACAGGATATAGCAGCTGGTTCCAGATCAGGCTGTAGCTCCACGTCAATGATCCGTCTTGAGGTGTGACGAGCACCGTGGTGGGACACAGTGAGGGAGAACGTCTCTCTGTGTTTGTCACCATCATCAGAACGGACTCTTTCTATAACAAGCATTTGTTTTAAGCAGCGTTTCTTTTCCTCCCTCCCAGACGTAACACGGAGGAGCATTGTTGAGATGAGACTGTTGTAAATACCAACGAGCTGGAAGTTCAGCTGCAGCGTGCATCTATAAGGTCGAGACTCATGTTGCCCTCACGTGGACTGAAACCTTACCTAATGCCAGACAGTGCTACGAGATCCTCTGATAGTCTGATTAGCAAGTAGCATACTATTACATGATTTTCACCCTTACACACCTGAACTACTGTCGGCTACACTGGCCTGCAGACGCATTTCACAAGATGTGGTGTTTCAAGCTTTTTCAGTAAAAGCAGGGAATAAAAAGACGGATGCAGACAGAGGGACGGATGCAGACAGAGGGACGGATCATCCTGCTGTAGGACTCGTGGTATGTTTTTAGCTGCAACGTGCACGTTTGCCGATTAGAATGTAAACACGTATTGTCTACGTATTTGTGAATCATTCATGTTAGATATCTGTAAAGATTTAATGAAGCATGTGCAAAGTCAGTCTCAGAACGTCTAAATACACACGACAGTGATCACAAACCAGTCTGTGTCTCCTTATTTGACAGACATCTATTCATTTTCCTGTTATCTCTGACGTCTCTAACCCAGTGAACAAAACTAAGACCTCTTTGGTGGCGTCTCTGTAGGAAAAACCCTGCAGCTGTCCTGCTTCATCAGTGGTTATGACTGAACTAAAGGGAAAATAAATGGATGAACGACATGATTGGAAAAACAGTAATGAACAGATTGTGGTCAGTTGGATGTCAATGCACTGTAATCATTTTGGCCACTTCCTTCTCTCTTCTTTTTCTGGATAAATCAAATTCAAAGGTGATGCATCCCTTCCCCACTGACTGATACGGTTCTTTGTCATGTCATAAATATTCCCAGTGACCCTCTGGGAGCTGTTCTCAGTATTAGTAAGATGGATTTAGCTGTTAATACAGAACGATGAGCTCTGATGGGTCATGCAGAGACGGTATGAGCTGTGCAGTTTGCTTTCTGTATGAGCACTGGTCCCCTTAATGTTGTCCTTTATCAGGAAAGTTGGGGCCGAATGCATCAACAAACTGTCATTAATGTACATTTGTGTAGCTCTGTTGAATCAGTTTAGCGATGGAGCTTGTACTGTATTTCCATCAGGGGATCCCCACACTCTGCTCTCTAATGCCAGCCTGCCAAAACCTTGGTGCCACCCCATGTAAAATGTTCTGCTCCTCCGAATCGCTCTGTCTTCCTCTCTCTTCTTCCTCGTCATGTAGCTGCAGCAGCCCTTATAAGGCAGTGCAGGCTGCTTGCAGAGCCTCTGATTGGGGGGCTTGCATCAAGTGTGTGCACGAGTGTGGTTTTTTTTTGTGGGGAGGTGGCTTTTGCTGCAGTCAAACCTGAGTGCACATCACAAGGCAGGGAGGAAGAGATGTGTGTACCTGACATGGCAACAGATGCATGCTTTGGCAGAATTCATGAGATTTGCAGCAGAGGCCAAGTAGAGCAGCACTCACAGATTCACGCTCAGCCCATGCTGCACCGTGGTAGCCTTCTGGTGGCCTACATATCACATTCCTCTGCTTTTTACGAAACAATCACACGCAGGCCAGGAACAAACGTCCACATTACCACATGTGGAATACATTAACGCTCGCTGCTGTGCATGTACATGAGTGTGTGTGTGGGTCAGACGGAGGCAGTGGAGAGGGGCAGGAGGCCGGGGTGGGGGGGGAAGGGAGGAGAATCTGGGTCAAATTTGATCTGAACCACATTTGAAATGTAGGAGGAAGTGTGTCCAACCAGTGAGAGACCAGTGTGAGGGGAGTGGACGGCGTGGCAGCCAATGAGGCAGCAGGATGCAGGGAGGTAGGTGGGCTTCCAGAAGTGTGTCAGTTACATAATGAAGCCCCTCCCCGGGCTCAGACGGAGCGGGCGGTGGGGCCAACTGTACAACAACTGTCCTCGACTGCGCTGATGGGAAATATGATTAAAATATATATACCAGGGTTATTCATCTACTCAGGGTTGCTATGGCTGCACGTGTCAGAAGAAAATACTCCTACATAGAGGCCCACATCATCTGACAAACTGCTCATGAACTGTGATAATGTCAGACCTGAACATGCACGGGTCAGCTGTTTTATTTACCAGTTTAATGAAATAATCATAATTATTAATATGATTGATTCAGTTCAAAGCACACTAGCATGCCCGACAGTTTAAACACCCTCTCCAGTGAAAATCACGCTTTGTTTTTTCTACCTTTTAACACGTACATACATACATATGGTGATCATGAGTGCAACATAAAGTCATCGCCACGGCCGAGCATTTCCAGCTGTGGAGGGGTGGGTGCAGAAAGAGACGACTTCATAGATTTACACATTCCAGAGGAGGCAACCACGAGTTCAATCTAACTTAAATCTAACTTAAACATGCCAGTTAGCTTAATGTACCAGCGAGCTAGCTCACTAAAGTAGGCCTGTGTGTGTTATTTAACAGAACAATGTACATTTGGTTGTTAAACTAAACAAACTCTCTGTGCTGCTCTTCTATCACAGCCATTTGCACATCTGACTGATAAAAGAGAACGGATCTGCAAGGAGGATTTTGTGGTGAAATATTGATGTTCACAACTTGCTGCGTTTTACTCACTGACCAGCTGCAGTTAGTCTGGAGTTCGTTGTCCTAATGAGAGGAGTGAGCACATATTTTACTCATTGTTGTAATTATTAGGACTGAGGGGATGCCGACGCTTGCATCCTTGGTTCAGCTCTGCCCCAAGTCGTTGTTTTAAAGAAATACACAAAGTGTTGTTTCCTCGTTAGCAGAAGGGTAACGAGGTGCAGCCAGACTACACTGCAGTACAGAACGGTCTGGCTGCACCTGGCAGCCGGTAAAGAGAGCGACGGAAAATCTGGCACATGCTAATAGTAAAACATGAACCATCTGTCTCCAGACTCCATTTTCCAACAACAGTCTCACCAAACATCCTGATTCTTACACACATTAAGGAAGAAGGAACTTTTTGCATCACTGACAAAAACCCCGCCATGACCAGTTCCCTTTTTAAACTCCTAAATATTCAAGAAAGACGAGTACAACAGCTCCAACACATCGGCTCCTAATGTTGACCCAAATCAGTGTTTGTCGGTCATCACAGTGCAGATGAGCAACAGAACAGAACAGAACCAAAGACGTCTGTAGCCTGTCGGACTTTCTAGGTGTGTACAAGCGTGTAATGGGGCGCAGCTGCATGAACACGTTGCAGGGCGGCCACTGTGAAGCTCTGGCTCCACCTACAGGCTCATGGAGGGAATTACAGCATCTCAAGACTCCACACTAAACTTTTCCACCAGGAACACCGGCGCTCTCTGTGGAAAAGTTTAGAAGCACCATGAAAAACAACGTGCAAATATCTGGAACTACAACTGAAGAGCAATGCCACCGGTTGTGGAATGTAACCGAGTACATTTACTCAAGTACTGTACTGTTAAAAACACTATTCACAAGTTGCTTTGGTGGTAGATCTGTTCACACAAATGGTCTGAGACTCTGTGTGGGTTTACATCCACACATTTACATCTGAATGACGTGTCAGAGTAAAAACTAAACTTTACTGCAACACTGGAGACTATCTCAGGAGTCGGCTGGTATTAAATAAGCTCCTGCAAAAATACAGCATCGGTACTACTGTGTAGAAAATATTTACACCTAAATCAAAGTGGACACCGCTCATACTACTGTGAACATGGCCGCAGAGTTATAATGTGTTTAATACGGAGCTGCAATACAACGAACACTTATTGGATTCATGTGAAATGTCAGAGAATCGACAAAAATCCAAACCCAGTCCTGAACATAGGGTTTTGAAACAGTTTGTTTAGTCCGACAACTTGAAAATACCCAGTTACAGTGATATAAAACACAGAAAGGGAAGTGAATTTAGCACCTGAGAAGATCAAACTGATTTAGTGAAAATGCATTTCAGCAAAATTTTAAAACATGGGCTAAACTTTAACTGATCTATTTAGGAGTTGTGACACGCTCCCATCTCTTCCTGTCTTCCAGAGGATGTAGAGATAAATGAGTGAAGAAGTGAGCGTGAGATGTTTACAAGTGCAGAACTTTGTGCTCGTGTGGTGAGCGTGAGCCTGTAGATGACTGTGTGTTTGTTTTCTACCAAATAATGAAGATTTCTGACTGGAACTCTGGCGACAGCTTGAGCAGACAAAGAGCGTCGCCTCCCCCTGCATTCCTCAGACGGTGGGAGGAGGGCCAGAAATAAACAGAGAGGAGACAGAGGTGATGACCTCGCCAGATGTAATTGTTCATCATCTCCAAAAGCTGCTCTTCAATCTTTTCTCACTCACTGGGGTTCATCGGTCTCATGTCGAGGCTGCGCTCACATGAGTTATGCTGAAGTGGACGCTGCTGCTGCTGCACGCAGGACGTACAGTCGTGATGCAGTTAATTATTCATGCTGCCTCCTCTTGAATTCAAATTAAGATCTGATTTATCTTTTGTACAGAAGGTTTGGTCACATGAAACCATCAGAGGATGAAAACACCAAGTATAAACCATGTTAATGTGTGTTTGAGTGAGAACATATTCTGTCACTAACGTGGTTTGTCGAGGCAACGCAGTGGGAATACAAAAGCATTGTTTCCCCAGAATGCGCTAAACAAATACAGAGCAGCACTGACCTTGCGGCACCGCGGGTTGGGGCAGCTGAACAGAGACACGTCTTTGTCCAGCAAGGCGGGGAAGTTGCAAAATGGACATCTGCAAAGGTAGGAGAGGAAGCAGAGTAAAGGAGTGAAGGTGATGCAGCTGTGTACAACACAACAGACAAACGGATCTCAGTGTGAGGACACAGAGCCATTATGGCAGCTCCCTGATGAGTGTGCAGATTCCCTTTATACCAAGAGGAGAGCGAACCCACATGTCCACTGAGTGGACGGTACATTCAAACAGACTGGGACCGCCACAGAAGTCAGAACATTAGATGACTAATTAACTTCAGCAGCTAAAATGTACGAACACTGCACGGATGCAGAAGGCCTGAAAATAAAGCTACACAGACAGATAGGAATGCACATGTTGAACAGTTTTCTTAACGGACAGCCAATCAGTCAATCAGTAACTGATTATTGTTCAGTGGTTGAACAGTGGACCTTCCTGCTGTCCTGGTTTTCTACACCTGTAACAGGAGAGCTGTGGCTACAGGCCAGTGACCACCACAGAAGACTTTGTCATGGCGGCCCACTGCTCGCTACACCCCCACAGCGCCCTCTGCTGGCCAACAAGGACTGAATGTAGTCTAAGTACATCTACTACGTACTTAGACATGCATCCTTTGTCCTCTGCCTCATCACTTCATACAGTTTAATGGATAGATGAATAACGGCAATAATCGATTAATCACTAAAATTAGCTAGCTAATTAGATAGATAGAATATTAAGTTCTAGGTACAAGAGAAGAACTGCAACTAGAGTCTCTCATTACTGGTTTTGCTGATGATTTCTCAACCAAAACATTCTGTCTATGGTCACACTTATATAAACCTTTTAACCTTAGCTAGGTGGAGCTGCTATGCTAGGTGCTCGCCTGCTATTGGCAGTGACATGTGCCCAGTGTCGGACCCGAGGACACATGGACGGGTCAGCGGTTGAACTGTCTGCCTTGCAATTACTGGGCTTGAGTCACAGCCACATTATGTAAAGAGAGTCTATTTTCAGGGCATATTAAAACTCTTAATCCAGCTGAATTACAGGCAGACGGCTGTGATATCCACACACACCAACACTCACCTCACTAGCTCGTCAGCGCAGGTGGCAGCGACCGCCTCCTCCGCCTGCCTCTCGTAGTATTTACACAGTATGTTCTCTGGTAGGACCTTCTCCAGCTCACACACAGGGTAGGAGCACGGGCAGCCGCCCTCCATGCAGCTCAGCTCCAGCTGCAACACGAACACACAGCCACTCACGTGAGCAAATACAAATGTTTGTCTGCAGCCACCTTCAGCTGACTGAACTCAGACTGCATCCACACCAGACGCATAACTTCTGCCATGTGTAGCATCTACGGCTGAATATTGTTTGTGTTTCAATGATCCGACTCGATTCCAGTTTGATTTTCTGATTCTTTACGGGGCAGGCGGTTCGAGTTACTACAAGCATGAAATCCTCTTTCTACATGAATGAATGATGTTCCTGATGATACGTACATGCTTTTATGTTTGATATAACTGAAGACTGCATGAGGACTTCATGGACAAATGAGCTGAACGGGGACTTTTTATTGCATTTCAACCACATGCTGCCACTTCTCTGACACATTCCTTCACTTAGGAAACGTTCTATTATCACACTCTAGAAGTCCTGCTTTAAAAAGCCCTACTTATCGAATGTGAGCAGAAACACAGAGCTAGATAACATAACAGCACCTCTCTTATGGTTTATATCTGCTTCAGCTACTTTAATAATAACCAAACCTGTGTTTCGTAGCAGCTAAATTCAAGCGATTGCTACGAGACGATCACACAACCTGAGCTCTTCACCTGCTGATCGAGCAGCTCAGCAGCTGAGTGTCTGAACAGAGCATAATGGAGCGCTCATGATTTATTAAGACATGAGGAGATAGCAGGACATGCAGGCGTCCTGCTGGGAAACGGTGCTGACTCTTGTTTTAGTTTGGAAACTCTGGGCTCGTGTTTTAGTCCGTATGAACCCAAGACTTCAGGAAACTCTGACGCGGACAACCGTGTTTACGTTCTGACGGGGTTCTAACGGTGACGACGTGTCCTTCCCTGATTTGTCGCGCTCAGAAGAAAACAAAGACGTATTGATTAACAGCGGTTAGTTCAACACGGCTGATGAACAACAGGCTCTGCTGACCTCACCGTCTCTGCTGTACTTCTGACATGAGGCTAACTTTCCTGTCTGGCTTCAGATGGTTGTGCATTAGTGTGGATATAGCCTCACCCACAGAAACACACACAACGGTGACGCATATAACCGACACCTTACCAGGAACCGGATGTACTACAGGCCTGGACTACATTAGGTTGGACAGAGGCAACCTAAAACCTGGAAACTCTATTTTATATGTCTAACTAAAAGAGCTGTCACACAGTTAAAACCCTCCACTGTTGCTTCAACAGCACCGTCCCTGAATGACAAATATCCTTTTTTATGTTAGCAAAGTATGTAAATCTCTCTGCAGAGGATTAAATTAAATATATGCACATTGATAACAAGCTAAAATGTAAAGACAATTACTCTGTCATAGAGAACCACAAAGTTCACCTCCTTCCCGGCTGATATCTGAACTTGTTAGGGCAGCATTCAGATGTGTTTCCCTGCTCATCACATTGTGCAGCCATCCTCCAGCTCAGAAGGACACGGTCATGGTAGTTGCCAGGCAACATTAGCATTCAAACTCTACTCCAGTGCGATGAAAGCGGCGGCTGTGTGTCCGTACCTTCCCAGAGCCGAACACTGCCTCCTGAGCGTATTTGACCAGGCACTCTTTGCAGAACAGGTGACCGTCCGAACACTGTGTCATCTTCTCAAACGCAAACTCCCCGTAGCAGCAGCCACACTCGATCAGCTGACCGTCCTGGAGGAAGAACCAGACAAAGACGTGTTTCATCTCTTCATAAAACTGGTCCTCATGGTGCTTAAAAGAGGTTAGGAGAGTAAAACAAGCCTAAAAGGATGTTAGTCCAGGACATGTTCTAGTAGAAACTGGCTTTAAAGGGTTTAAACATTTCACAAATTAAACTAAGTTGTTTGAATACGTGGGACTCTGGATCCCTGTTATTCTGAGTGTAATCAGCATAAACCATGAAGCTGAGTTAATGTACAGTCTATCCAGCACCATCCTCGTCACATGATGTGGAATAAGAACAACAACTTCTACACATGCAGTCTTTTGTAAAAACCAGTGGCGACTACTCATTTATTCATCAACATGAACTGCCAATAAGACGTCGTGTTACGAGTTAGACGCATCAGGAAACATCATTTTATATTATAACACACACAAAGAAGTCATTTCTAGAAAAAACAACCACATCAGGTTTAGTCACATTGAATAGAAGGACACTTTTTTAGCACAATAACCATATACACTGCTCATAAAAAATAAAATACGGGAACCATTAATCATCCCAGTATGACACCAGTTCAACTAAACTCCTGGGATATTGATGGGATCAGTTAGGGAGTGATTGTGAATCCCCCCTCAGTGGGTTCATACTTTTGGTTCCAACTGTCCATCCTTATATGATTTAAGTGTGTCCTTACACAGCGTATGAATCCTTATGAAGGGGACACCAGACTGCACTGAAGAAATGAAAACTTATAACTGTTGGCCTGAAAAGGAGTTTTTGGGTAAGTAAATAAAAAATGTTCTGTTGTGCTGCAAACAACATCAAAGTAGTTATTCCAGCCGCCTTCACTACGTCTGTCGTGTAAAGTTGGTCTCATTTCAAAAGTTTGGTTGACAAAACTTAAAGTTATAGGATTGAGGCTGGAGCTTATGCATCAGCGAAGAACGGGGTCTCCAGCTCACATCTACAGGGGCCACATCTCCACTTTCAAATTCACGCTTGAGCGGCCATTTGTCCTGTTCTCGTGTCCTGTGTGGATTTTATCTCCTTATAGGCGAGTATGTTATTGGAGCAGTGTGTTGAAACTCCAGCTTTGTGATTGATTGTGAGCTGATTCGCGGTTATGTAGCTTTAGTATTTCTGTTGGTTTAATAAGGCATGGTCATTACTGACATGTTAGCCACCTTGGACTTTAGCTAGCTAGCTAGGACGCAAGTAGGAAACGAGGCGCCCCTTCATGGACGTTTTCTGAACACAAAATAATAAGTTGGCACAACTTTTGTTTTTCAGAATTCTTAGTTTGTGTAACTAAAACATTTAAGCTACATTACACATGAACAATGTAAAAGTAAAATGTTTAGTTGGCCTCAAAACCCCAAAATCCAGCGCAGACAGTTGCCTTGAAATGTTGAGTTCACACAACTGTTTTGTTTCTACAGTGTGGCTCGAGTATTCGTGGTTCCTACCTTCTTATATTCATCCTCATTGACTTGCAGAGCCAGAAGAAAGTCCTCATGCTGGAGACACAGAAAGAGGCTGGTAAACATGTGCACAAAGAAAGTGGGAAACAAAAGGCAAGTCTCCACCTCAGAAAACAATAGACTGTAAAAACGGGACTCCTGAGGACTACCGTGTGTCCCACTGCTGTGACTCTCCTACAGTAGGTGTAAAGTTCCAGGGCTGGATCAGGACCAGAGCCACGCTGTCCAGTACATGACCTCCAGCTATTTCAGTGCCTCATTGGTCAGACATTCACAATGGTGTGACTTTCAGAGTCTAGTGTTTGGAATCTGAACAGCCAAACCTTAGCCTCAAAAATCCTCCGTTCAACATGAAGCGCGATGCAGGTTTACTGCTCGTCAGGATAAAACAGACGCTGCACAGAAGTGATTCTTAATCTGTTCATAAGCATGCGTCATGCTACTTAAACTGAGGTTTTTTTACACTAATGTTGAGCTATTCAGATGTAAAGGCTGTAAAATGTTTGTTTGATGATCCTGACAGTTAGATTCTTATAAACCAGACACGTTTCAGCAGCCATATCATGACTTTAGTGTCGTTGCAGGGCGTTTGTGCGTCTACCTCTGCCCATTCCTTGGCCTTCTGCTGGTAGAACGACAGCTCCTTCTGCACAGATGCCTCCAGATTGCTGTACGTCCGGCAGTAACGTCGGTCGTTCTCCAGGAAATACATCCTTTTTTCAAACTTCAGCGAACCTGGTGGACAAAGAAGGACTCTAGTGAGCGAGAGAGACTGCATGTATTAAATCATGAGCCCTTCCACAGCACACGGATAAAACAGAAACCAAAGACAAAAAAGGTTTCCTTCCCATGATGCATCTGCAGCTCCATAAAACTCATTTACTAAATCCTGTGTGAACTGAAGAATAGCAGAAAGACTTTATCAACAACGACTCACTTGTGAAACTTAACTTTAAGTGTGCACAGAAACAAAACCTACAACATGCACAACTAGTACGTAGACCTGGTCTGTCACAGTCAGACCATCAGCGCTGTGTAACCTGGTCTAGCTGCACCTCATCCTTCGTCTGCTGGCCTGTTTGTGTTACTTTAAATCAGCCGTAATCCTCTTAGGCGGTGCTAAGCGATGAGGTCCCTTAAATAGTGACAGGGGAATATTTTGATGGAACATGCATGCAGGCAGGTGAACAGTGTGACTGTAAAAACTGCAGAGCTGCTTATTTGCACGATCCTAATCTCCATCAGAACGTTTTCAGTGTGGCAGGCTGCTGCTTGGGGGCTGCTGCTTCCTGTAGTGACGAGTATTTTTGAAAAACACATAGGTAGTGGGAGGGGAGAGTGAGATGTGCAGCTAACAGAAGGTTGTTCGCAAAGTCTCCATTTGATGAGGCGTACTCATGTATACCTATAGAATGCATGTGCAGGGGCAGAGATGATAGCACCTATCTGGACCTGCAACAAGGAGGAAGTGAGAAAGTTAGCTTACCATGCTCAAAATGGAAATCTATGTAGCAGCGCTCCGATGAAGTCCTGCTCCGTCTTCTCTTTCCTGATGGGTCGCCTGATTCCTGCCACTTCTTCAGAGCTTCACATAAGGCCTGGAAGCAAGGAAGCGAATGGGGGAATCAAAGAGGCAGTTGGAAACGAGAACAGGTAAATAGAGAACGGGGAGAACTGAAGTGGCATTCCTGAGATGCTTACCTTGCGTGTGATTGCATAGTGTCCCTTCAGGGCATTAAGGGCCCATTTGATATCCTGACAGCTGAGCATCCTGAAATCTGCCATGAGCAAGTCGGCGGCCTGCATCACAACTTCTGGTCCCACAGTTCCCAGCTTGGTATAATCGAACAAGTCCTCAGTCACCTGAAAAAGCAACAACGCAGGCAACAACGTCAATGTCAGCAAGAACTTGTACGCATAAATCTGAGTTTCATTCACCTTGTTTAACTGGTTTGAAGATACAAAACAAATGCATAAGACACAGATTTTAAACCAAACAGCATGAACCCTAAAAACGACCAGGAGGTTGGAACGGCCTGTTAGCTTCACAACCAATCACCAGAGTTACACCATTTAGCAGATCCAGAATCAAGAAAATAGTGTCACTGGATTTTCAACTGGGCAAATTGTGATACTCTATGAAACTAACTTTATTCTGTAAGTCTCATTTGAAAACACTGCCAAAAAAACACGTTTGCACAAACAAAAACTCTTTGGTGCAACCAACAGGCCTTTAGTAACTCAGCAGTCCTGTCAGAACTCTTTTTCATCTGAACTGGAATCAGGTGCAGGCTGTGTTCATATGGAGCAGATAGACAAAAATAAAAATGTAAATAGTGAAGTATCTACGGTATGAAGGGGTCAGCAGAGCTTTTTGCTAATAACACCTGCGTACTTTGCTTAACTGTTCTCTTTCTAAAGTTTACTCATGATGAGATCGCTAACGACCATCACCAGCTGCACTGCAGTACGTTACGACTGTAGCAGGAGAACAGACATGCTGCAGCTGTACGACCACAGCTTGTCCAGTCTGCAGGTTGGAAACATGAGAAAAGGAGGGTCAAGGTAGCAGAGATACAAATGACTACTTCCCTCAGAACTTTCAAAGTAAAATCAGAGTGAAAACAGGATGTAGAGACGTAAGATTTGGCCTCCAGCCTTGAGATCAAGTCAAGGCAACCATATGCTGGTGGGAGAACTGCGATTCCTATCCTGGACTGTGGTTCTGTATGATCGGTCAGATTGCTCGCTCCGATTCTCAACCAGCTTCCCAACTCTGTTCAACCACAGCACAAGGTCATAATGTGGTGACGAATACCAAACATAGCTGCATAACCAGAAACATGTCTGACCGGTGTACTCATGTAAGAAGGAAACGGTTTTCCAACTTTAATTTGCATACACACTTCACATAACTACTGACTGTGCTCGTGTCGTAGTAAAACACTGTAAACATTACCTTTACAAAACTGTATTAATTATGAACACAGCACCTCCTTTTACATGTTGTATGTTCTTGTGGGTCTGGCGGACACACACAAAGCCTCACCTCCGTCTGGGTGTCTCCAGGCTCCAGCAGGATGCTGGAGGGAGCTGCTGAGGCGGCTGCCGTCTCCCTCCGCGGATACTTCGGATTTTCTAACAGCAGGTTACAGATACTGGAAACAGAGTGCAGGGGAGCTGAATGAGAACGAGCTCGCACAGATTCAACCACACGCAACAGGCTTCAGAAGAAATGATTCAAGATAATGAATTATCCTCAGCGTTAATAACTGTACAATAAGTGAGACAGAACTACAGTCTAGCTTCTGGTTCACACTGAAAAAACACCATCTGATTAATTACACAATTAAATTAAGGGGACTAGACTCTTAAAACTGCAGCAGGAATCAAACCAGATTGGTTCTGTGAGCAGCACAGAGTTCGGCTCAGATGAGAGGCTGCAGGTCGGCGCTGTGATGCTTCAGACATACATGATGCATTTATACAGAACCCACTTCTATAGACAGTCACACAGAACACAGTAGAGGTACCATGGTTTCCTTATTCACTTATCAAAGTTCTGTTTGAGGCCAAGGAGGAAAAACGTCAACGTTTCTTACACATTCAAGTCTTTCACATTATTCTGGTGGATCAGTTCTGCTACATAGGCTTCCTGGACATCTGGGAGTAGATCCAACTGTGGAGGATACACAGAGAGTTCAATATATCGTCTGATTAGCCTCAGCTACAGCATCCACAAGTATTCTATTTAAACACATAGGTCAGAGGGCAGTGGTGTAAAGTAACTAAGTACATTTACTCAAGAAAGTGTTCAATGTGGGGGAACTTGTACTCGAGTATTTTAATACTTTGCTAACTTGTGCTCCTACTCTGCTGTAATTCAGATGTACATGTTGGACTTTTTCTTCTCTACATGTGCAAAACAACTTTAATTCCTACAGTACAGTAACGTGAGGTTTACTGAAGGACAACATCCAGGACTTCCTGCACTTCTGTCAGCGGGTCGGAGACAGGCCCAAGACTGTGGCTGCTGAAAGTGACCAATGAGAGGAGTGGACTTATCAACCACTGTCCTCTAAATTCAACCACATGTCTGAGCGAGTGCTGAACAGTAGCGAACACGTAGGCTCGGTTAAGCACTGGTCACATCGCCGTGCTCATCGGAGGGCGTTTTATGCACACAAAGCAGAAATGCTCTCTCACAAGGAGGGCTTTCCACTCCTGGTTCCTGTTCTGTGAGCTCGTATCATGTGTCTGGTTTCAATGTGCACGAGTTTCCAGAGAGACGTGATGTAAAACGTGAAAGAGGCAGAAAAGAAGAATGTAGTCTGAATGGATATGAGAGACAGCTGCCACACAGTTAAAGTCACTTCACTGATGACAGACAGGAAACAGCGACACTCACAGTTCAGGATGTGCAATACTTACAACACCAGAGATCAGGGTTCTGACGTGAGGCTGCTGCTCTGGTCTCCCTTGTGGCACAGAGGGTCCAGGTCTTGCATCCTCTATTCGGGGAATGTCCTCTGGTGCAGGAGGGACCGCGACCAGAGCAGGGGCTGGATTAACCCTTTCTAGGTTTGGGGCCAGAATGATGCGAGCCACCCCTCCGCCGTAGGAGGCTGGCGGGGCGGGAGCTGGAGGGTTAGAGTTCACATTAGGCACCCTGATGTTGAGGTTCCAGCGTGGTGGAATCGCACTGGGGCCACCAGCCTGTGGTGGAGGATTGGGAACAGCGTTCCCAGGCGGCTGGCTCCCCAGGATGATCCGGTGCCCTGCCTCTGGAGTACCGAGTCTCTCTGGGGCTGCAGCGATTAGAACTGCAGGGGGGATCACTGGTATGACCTGAAGGGCTTCCGGGGGCTGGACTGCGGGCTGGGCAGGAGCCTGGGCCAGGGGTTGGGGTTCAATCTGAATGAGATTGCCCTGCATTTGATTAAGGGAAATGTGCTGCGGCAGGTTCTGGGGGACGACCTGCAGCTGGGGCTGTGTTACCAGAGCAGAGGCCTGGATGCTAGGCTGCTGTGGAAGAACAACTATCTTCACCGCCTTCTCCTGGGTGACGTTGGGCTGCAGGGACGTGGTTCCAGTCAACTGGACCTGTGACGATGTACCGGGTTGAGGCTGCGTCTGTGTGTGAGACTGGGCATGTGCAGATGAAGTACTGGCCTGAGGATTGTCTTGTGTGAGACTACTTGTCGTAGCCTTTTCTTGAGTCTTAGATGAACCTGACACAGTCACTGCAGCAACACAAGTGTGCTGTGTGGCGCTGGCAGATGTACTCGCCTGGCGCTCCACTGCTAAGTGTGCTGACGAGCCGGCTTGTGGCTGTGGGAGTCCAGATGTGCTGGGCTGAGGTTGGACAAGTACTTGCACAAGCTGTCTGGATGAGATGGCATTAGCCTTGGCATTGGTGGAGGTAGATGGGGTGTGGACAGAAGAAACTGCATGAAGCTCCACATTTGTATGTGCTGACGTACCTTCCTGTTGCTGTGAGTTTGTGTTCAGTCTTGGCTGAGAGAGTGTGTGTGATGAAGGGCCAGGCTGTGGCAGTGTCTGTCCAGATGTGCTGGACTGCACTGTCTGTGTTCGTATGGCTGGTTGGGTGGCCTTGGTGGCCTTGGCATCTCTGGAGGTAGAGGGGGCAGAGCCATGGTCCCCTGAGGGAATCCCAGAGGTTAGGCTACTTTCACCTACGACTTGAATGAGGTTGTGCGAGGCCCCGCTCCACTTCGCTGCTGGACGAATCACATGTCTGCGTGCAGGAGTTAGTGGCTGAGAGAAAACACAGGAAGGAGACGAACACATGAACACATCAGGCTGCTTCTGTCACAACTTGCTGTTAACACTTCAGTTTCCGAAATCAGTACCAGTATCAGTAACTCGCCAGCTGCTCAACAGAAACAGGTTTTGTTCTCTAAAACGCTGCCTTTTAAATATGAAGAGGGAGGATTTAAACACAACCCTCAGTAACACGCATAGTAAAGGTTTATATTCACCTCCAGTATGCTGATATCGTCATCATCCGCATCATCTGGGACTAAAACAGGACTGCCAGGTACCAAAGTCACGGGCTCTTCGTCCGAGTCATCAGAAATAGTGATGAGCTCCCTCTGACGGGAACACGAGCCTGCACAGTAAGTTAGCATTAGCATTTAGTGGATGAAGGAGGAAAACAAAGAGTTGTATTGAATATCTACGACAGAGCGCATGGAAGAGACAAAAGCAGAAGAGAGATCATGATAACAGCCATTGCTGAAGTTTCATATGGGAATTCTTCGCTTGTCCGGATCCCCACATACCAACAACAACTAGCACATATCCATTATCCATCATCTCTACACCTTAACCCTCACCAGGGTCATGGGGGGCGGAGCCTATCCCAGCTGACTCAGGGTGAAGGCAGGTTCACCTGGACAGGTAACCAGTCTATCACAGGGCTACACTTAGAGACAGACAACCAAGCACACTCACATTCACACCTACGGACAATTTACAATCACCAATTAACCTCAGCATGTTTCTGGACTGTGGGAGGAAGCCGGAGAACCCGGAGAGAACCCACGCTGCACGGGGAGAACATGGAGACTCCACGCAGGAAGATCCCGGGTGTCCTCACCGGGACGCCATCCGGCGACCTTCTAGCTGTGAGGCCACGGTGCTAACCACTGAGCCACCTTACAGCCTGATATTAAACTCTGATTGTTGATAATACTTTGATTAGCTGCTCAGACCTACATTCAAACCACACTTTTTGTTATCAAAGCAACACCTGCGGTTGACATGAGGGTTTGGTGTCATCTAAACCGTTGCCGTCGTAGTCACATCTGGACGCACGCTACAAACTACCTGATCTGATGATTTGATCTTTACTGTGCGTTACGACACCGTGCCACCACATTGTGCAACGTGGCGCTACGATCAGTGCTGTCAGGCAGGAAAATGAGCAAACACACACTCTGATAGTGTGTCCCAGAGATGGCCAGAGATGGCTCTACTAACAGGGCTCATGCATGCGATCAAAACTGTGTGCAACAGAACACTTTTATTGGTTGCACTGGTGCAGCTGACCTTCAGTAGTTCAGTGTGTGTGTGCAGCCTGCTCTGAGAGATAAAATCACTCACTTTAACCACACGCCCTAAACTCTGGAATGCCTTATTTCTTTTTTCAAACCAACTGTTGGCCGCATACTGATCTGAGCCGTGTCCACTGCAGTGTCTGAGTGGAGACGAGACGCATGTGAGGCATTTAGGGAACCAAAGGAAACTGCAGCGTCTCCTCGTGCATGTCAAGCATTCAGGTAAGATCACTAAACTGTGGTGGCGTTTAGACGACGTCTGTCTATTGCAGCTTCAGAAAAACAACCTGGTCTACAATCTACCCCTCTAAAGGATGATCCTCTGCATGAAAATCAGGAACGTCCCACCACCACACGTAAATTCTCAACACAAGGGAGACAAAACCTGATCACTGCACTGCTGGGAACAGAGCTTTGGCTGCTGGAGCATGTTCCGTAATGACACGTTAAGAAAAGACCAAGAAACCAAACAACATAGTCATCCCTTATGTTGCAGGAGTTTCTGAAAAGCTCAGGAGGATCTTTAACAAACACAACAGTCCAGTA